CGAAGTCAGAAGTCAACTGCCGGTTTATAGACTTTTTTGTCGTATGAGCATACGTTGCCTAGGGTGCACCACATGGAGGTAAGTCTATCGCGCACCCCGGGCAGCTAGATATAGATTTCAGTTAATTTCAAGATTATTTCTAGTTCTCCCAATTTTTAACGCAAACTTCCAATTCAACGCAGAACTTCCTCTTTATTGCATGATAGTTAACTACATTTTCAAATAAAATTTTAATTTAGAATTAGCATTAATAAATTATTAATTAAAAACTATTATGTGGTATATTAATCACAGCAGTTTAATATATTTGGCTTCCTCTAAACATATAGCAAGTGGAGTTACTTCTAATGCTTTGTTTCAAAATTTAGCGCTTATATCTGACCATTAATGATATTTATTTATATCGTAAAATTTTATTTTTCAGTAAGAGAATGTTAATTTGAATCGTAAGTGTTCAAAATTGTTTGCTTCACGATTTAAAAAAATACGTAAAGGGTTATTTATAATTTTGCGGATATTTATTAAATTTAAGGTTTCTTTCTATTTTTATAAATCCATGCATTCTTGCGTTGGCTCTTAAATGTGTCCCTAATTAATGTTTAATGAAGTCCATAGAAATTAACTTTGCTCTATTTACAAGATTTCGATTCTCATAATTAACTTAAAACAAATTTGGTGGATTTAATAAACCGTAATGCACTGGCAGATTTCTGTATTTGTGTTTATATGGATTATAAAAATTTTATTTTCTCCATTTTGTACTTCAAAATAGTCATTTTAAATTTAATGCTCATTTAATAGTAGTGATTGTTTTCATTGCCTGGTATTCAACTAATATCACTTTATTTTGGTTCACATAAATTCCAAGTTCTGCTAAGACATGTTGCTGCCGTGTGTCTGAAATAGTACACGAAAACAGAAATATCATTTGCTATGCATATTTTGAAAATTTTTGGAGATATTTTTTTAAGAACAGAAAAACATTTGAAAATATCATTCCTATGGAAGCAAATTTGAAAAATTAAAGCTGACTTTTTATTTGACAAGTACTAGCTATTCTGTAAGCAACATACTCTTATGCAAGGAAAGAACTTTAAATATCGAGTGACTTTTTTGCAAAATTATTTTAACCCAAGTTTAGATCAGAAAATTCTCTAGGGAAAAGTTAAGCTATTGAATTTCTATTTTTATAAGCGCTTAATCTCTGTGACTACATAGTAGTAAGATTTTAAGACAAAATCTCATAGTATTTTTTCAATGCAATTTGCAGACTTTTCTTGCCATATTTCGGATCATCGTCAATATTTTTACTTGTTCACCAGTTTGAAAGCTTCGCTATTATAGAAAAAACAGCTTGAACAGGATCGGATTTTCTGCATGACTATAAATTATCTGCGAAAAATATTTTTATCGACTTGGATACCTTCTCCTTTTTGGAATGATGGGGTGGTCGGGTGCAATTTTAACTTTATCAGCGCAAAGAATATACCCGTTTAAGTTTTTTGGGTTCAGATCGCTGAATGATAACTATGATCTCTAACGTTTAATTTTTTTCTGTTGCTCTAAGTGAGGTTCTTAGACGTGTAAAATTTCGTCGTGTTAGTATGCAGTTGTCTAACCTGGTGAATCAATAGCTATGTGGAGATCTGAATCGTGTTATTTGAACATGTCTGGACTAAAATCTAATTTTGTCTAAATTGTCTATCTGACCAACAAAATACCAGCCTAATGGTTCAATACAATTCACCAAGTACCTTGGTACTATGCTTGAGCTTGAAATGATTCTAACCCAAACAGGTATACTTCCCTGAAAGCAGTCTAAGATGAACACATAACATGGATTAATTTAGGAAAACAGTAAGTATTAGTAAGTATTAGCTAGTTCTACGGATAAACTCAGCTTCATAATTCTCACCGATTCGAAGAACTAAGACCTTAAGACAATAACGGCCAGAAGTTGTATTAAATTCAATAGATAGTTCAAATCAGAGGAAGAAATATACATTTACCTGCGTATATATTGATGGTGCAATTTGTGCAAAGATGATATCTTAAACTAGCAAGATTGTCAAAGTTTTGATTGGATTTATCGCATTTAAAAATTTCAACAGGCAAAGTGTGGTCTCTGACAATATGAAAAATTGGCAGGGAAAGCAGACAACCCTTACAAATTGGCTTCCATTGTTTCAAGATTTTAACCCATTCTTACTTGCTCGAGAAATGATTTTGGCGGTCCACTGATGTTGCACTAAACCCCTTTTACGACATGAAAAATGTTCCTAAGACAATCAATTACAAATTTTACTTATAATGCTGTTATTGTTTTCTGTTCACTTCAACTTGACAATAGTTTGTCTTCTCTCTACATACTGGCACCAAGATTTTGGGTGAGATCATTTATGAGGGTATTCCGGTCTAGAAAAAAATATTCAAAATTTTTTTCTTGCATATTTTCACAGTTTAACTATTCAAGAATATGTCTACGAAAGGATTTTTCAAAATTCAAATTAGTTGTGGAGATATAAATATTTTGCTGAGCAGGCATCCAAATCGGTTGGGCTGCAACTAATCGAACAATAGACATATTGGGTTCTCCGACTACCCGAATCTATATTTCTTCCGTTAAATCTCTCTATCTATCTATAAATATATATATATATATACATTTCACGGCAATTGATTTACGGAACAGGAAAACCCCAGTTTTACGAGTGCATCAGAAGCAGATTTGAGGAAATCAAATGATGAAGAAGTAATTATAGATAATAATTATGGCTACGGTGTTTTGGAGTTTTTCACTGCCTTTTCAGCGATTTCTTCGTTTGTTTCATGTACTACATACAACAACGAGATTATATTTTCAAGAACGGCTCAACGCGGACTCGGGTTCAAAATTGCATTACAATGCAGTTGGAATAGTCTACGCTACATTCCACCATGACCATTCGTTGAAAAATCCTTCAAAGTTTATCATCAGAAGAGTTATTGACTCGGTGTTCAGGTTCAGAAACTCAAAATATTAATGAGTCTCTAAACTCGCTGATATGGACTTTCGCTCCAAAAGCATATCCATTCCGGGTCTCAGATCATTAAAATTGCAATATCTATTGTTGTGTGTATTTTTAATGAAGGCTTTATGCCGATATTGAAGATAATGACGATTTTGGGAGTGAAACGTGGTTTAGAAGCGCATGTATTTGCTATCAGACGAGACAACACTCGGATTGACCGCTCCGAGATACGAGCATCCAGCGCATCAAAGGAGGCCAGAACTGCTAGAATAGAAAACAGAGACGCCGAAAATAGTCTTTTCGAATTCGAGGAAGGTCCGATGTATGCAGCAGGAATGGCAGATTGAATAAATGTAAGTTAAAAATATAATTTTATGACTTCGACTGCAAAACATTTTACCTGAAACTCTTAACGAGTTTTTCTCTAAGCTGTTTTTGAATCTGATACCCACGATTTCTCAGATTCTGCCAACCCGATTTACTTGAAATTTTAAGAGAGTCTTCTTTAGGAACCTGGCTATGGTTGGAACTACGACCATCCTCAAATTTTATTTTTAATATTTTTTAAAAATTGAAGAATATTCAAAAAAGTGGTACAAAAATGCTTTGTTTCTTTAGACAGTCGCCATTTTGTAAAAAAATATAGCTAAAAGTTTCCCGTAGTTCTGGACATAGCGACATTATTGTAGATTGATAATCCTTTTTATTTTTTAATTTCAGATCACTTGGAGAGTTGAAATCGTGGGTATGGTCATGCACCATATTTTTGGGACGCCCCACTACATCAGCTGATAACTAACGGAATTTTAAATTTTTTATTTTTTTTGTATGCTTCTTAGGTGAATAAATAATGCATAAAAAATCAATTGTAAAAATATTGCTTGCTTTTTTTAAAGCACTTTAAAAATGACCTAAAATTCATGCCTCTAGATCAGAATACCCCCTTAATGTAACTCCACCAATGGAATCATGGATTTGACTAAAGTATGCAAGTGTCTAGATTGATCTAACCTCAGCAATTATTACCATACATATGTATATTTATATATGAATTATTCAATCCACGGATCTCTCCGACCAACTAAATTCCCTCCACATCTTATAAAATGGCCAATCCTCTGTTTGACTCCAATCTGCTAAATGCAATCAGTTTAAATTTATTGTTCAAATTTTGAAAGCCAGGTATATTGGTTAGCTGTTTTTGAAAAAAAGATTTCAACACCCAATATGGTCTACTATTTAAAATACAAGATCGCCTACTAACAAGTTCCCGATGTTTCACCACGGTCTTTTTTCAGTTCGTAAAAAAGAATAGATTTTGTTCCGAGTATAATACCGGATATCGGCATATCACTATTTGATATCACAATGCTTTATTTAAGTGAAAGTACTGAACTTTCGTCAGATTAAAAATGCTCCCTCCCCCCGCCACACCATTGGTTTGATTTATCTTAATCTCAACTCATCAGGCAACCAAGATGAGTTGAATAGTTAGCTGACTATGCAAATTTGAAAGTTTCGAATTCGTGTAGAGACTATATTGGAGAAGAACACGGTGGAATAGGAAAACTATCTTAAGTGGACAGAAAGGAATCATATTCGGAATTTTCGTAATCAAATTAAGAAGTTGTAAAGTGGGTAATTGTCTTAGTTATTTGGAGTGGGTGTGCGATAGACTTACCTCCACGTGATGCACCCTTGTTGACGTATACGCCTACTGCAAAAACTCTATAAACCGACAATTGACATTACCTCAACTATCATGACTCCACTGTATGTCATATTCGACCACTTCCACCTACTCTCTGGCTTTGTGTCTGTGACTTTGATACTTCTCTCCTCTGTCAGCTAAAGGACTAAGGCTAACTATCCTAAGGCCTGTTATTTGATATAAATATTTTGAGAAGTTAAATAAATAAAAATAAAGGCGTCGTGAAATCCATGCAGTTTTAAAATAAGATGACATTCATGCTTAATAGCAATGTCTGATTAAGCGTCACTGTGTTGAAACTTGTTTAAAAACGGATGTTTCAGTGCCTCGCTGGCAGTCAGGCGCAATTCAGGATCAAATACAAGGAGTTTGTCAAGTAGATCAATCGCTTCATCTGTTGCAACCGATGCGTTGGCTTCTGTAATTAACTTCTTCCAGTCAGTTCGCTGGCGGTCCAACAGTTCTTCACAATCACTAAGACCTGAAGAGCCGATCCCGTATTTTTTGCAGAAGTTACGTAGACTATTGATTCCCAATAATTTCACAGTTAGAAGTAGATCACTTTCTCTGGTAATGCCATCGATAATGTATCTCACTCGAAATATGGCACTAGCCAATATGCAGCCAATGGGCCATATATCTATTGCGTAAGTGTGTTTCTAAATTGCATGCACCCATAGATCAGAATAAAGAACATACCGGATAATTCAACAATACTTCCGGACTGCAATATCTTGGAGTTCCAACAGAAGTATTGTAGATTGCGCCCTCTTTATAGAACGCAGCATGACCCCAATCGGTAAGGTACACCTTCCTTCTGTGGTGATCAAAGAGCATATTGCTGGGTTTAACATCCCGATGCATTATTCCTCGACTATGGCAACCTTGAAGTGCCAGCAGCATTTGACGGACGTAAATTGCGATATCTTCCTCCGCTAAGTCATAAAATATGTCTCCCCACTGATGAGTTGGAATGAACTCAAATATAAGACATTGTAAACGCATCTACAATTCAGTAACGCTTGTAAATCAATATTGGATTTGTAGATTAGGATTCAGTGCGTATCGAAAGACCTACTGTTTCACCCATAATGTAACCAAGACAGCGATTTGTATTCGGACACCCATCGAGGTATTTAAGAAAACGCAATTCCGCCCACAAATTATGACGTTCTGCCGATTCAAAAGTTTTTACAGCAAAATTGTGGGAATTTTCAGGACCTTTCACATGATACACCGACCCAGTCGCACCACTCCCGATTCGTCCATGGTTAGAAAATTTTGGATAACTATCTTTATCTGGTTGGGACGCATCTTCAATTAGTTCGACAATACTTTGTTCGGTAGAACATTTTTTATTTGTATTTTCAGTACTCAGATAATTTTCTTTTTGAATTTCCGAAAAGTATGGCAGTTTGAGGGCCTCTTTAGCCTTTATGCGCTTTGTGTGATTGTAGACAAGCAATTTCTGCACTAGATCTATGGCGTCTTCAGTTGCTACTTGCTCACAATTTTCAGTTTTAAAAGTGTGAAAGCCTCTTTCCCTAAAACTTCGAATTCTCTTTCTCAGCCTCTTACTAATCGATATTTGGAATTCTTCTGCGTACTCTAGTAGCTGTTCGTTTCCCAAAACCCTTGCGATCCTACTCACTTGTTGATTTCTTGTCCTGCCGTCAAAGATATACGGTACTTTGAATATTGTGCTGGCAATAACGCAGCCTGCAGCCCACAGGTCTACACCATAGTCGTATTGCTAGAGGGGTGGGGGGAGGAACAAACACACAGTCAACGAAATACCCAAACAAACCTTGACACCGAAAAGTAGTTCTGGACTTTGAAAGTAAAGAGAATTGGGAATTGTCCAGTGAACTTTTCCATCTTCATACTCTTCTGTATCATCCCATTCAGTTAATTTAAGTAGCTTTTTGGTCTCATCAATAAGCAGACTACTTGTATTCACAGTACCATGGATTATATTTTGAGAATGGCAAGCATCCAAGGCAATAAAAAGTTGATAAGCATAATGCTGAATATCGGCACTTGTCATCTTTCCGCTGATATCACCCCATTTTGCCAATTCACCACAATCAGTCACAATGAGATTCATTGGTATCTAAAACATAGCAGGAAAGCGCAAAACCGTATGACCTTACTGGTTCTCTTCCAGTTATTGTTGCTAAAATCTTTGGTATTTGTGGACACTTTTGAAGTTTGTTTAAGGTGGCTATGACATTCCTTGGTCTCCTCGGTTCACCCATTTTATATGCCCTGGCCCAATATTCTGTCTGTTGATTGCAGTCCTTTATGCGCAAATCCATTCCATAATAAAGGGGCTTGTTTGGCAGCCTGTAAAATTTGAATTGAAAAGGAAAATTCCCGTATTTGTCCTTTTCAGCTGAAGTATCTTGTGATTTGGGTGCTGCCATCCCACCATACGCTGGCCTATTTGACTTTTAAATCCTCGGAATACACTTAAGCCTACGAGTAGATGTCACCAAAATCCCAGTTTGTTTAACTATAACGAGCTAACCTGCTTAAACTTGAAGTAACCATATGACATAATGAATTTCAATAAAATTTATTAAGCTGTGTTGTTTTAATTAAGACAGATCATAGATTTAATACATTTTGCAGGCTAAATCAAACATATCCGGTTAAATTGAAGATTCATTTCTCCCAATTTAACATTAGCAAAGTGCCAAAGTTTTTGATTATCGTTCTGTATATAAAAAGTATATTTGAATAATTTTCCTAAGATTTCTTCCCCAAAAACTGAGGAGCATAATTGAAAGCTTTTCTTACAACGATTTTCACTATGGGGGAGGGGGGGGGAATTGAGCTCAAAAGAAAGCGACCTTTGAAGGTATTGAGAAGGAGGAGGGAGAGGTGGAGAGGCGATGAATCTACGTGAATTGGGACAACTTATTTAGCTCCATTGAAAGTTATTTGATTCGTCAATCTCAAGTCGTTTGCACCACAAACGTTTTACCCTAAATGAAGAAGTTGATTGGAGAAGGCTAAATGCATATTTGGGCGTGCAGAAAGTCAGCTATCATGCCGCTTTTCTCATCAATTGAATTAGTTTACTCCTCCTTCACTTTTTCTCCATCTTACCGTGGGAGAATTGCATAGCTTAAGGCTCTTCTTCACTTTACGAATCCAGGCTCCAAGTGAAAAGGTGTGTAGCTTGGCCTTACTTAAAAGATCAGAATACTGTATAACCAAAAAGTGGAAGATCAAACTTTTGAAAATCGCTTTACGGAATGAATAGCTGCTTGTAGTTATTCTAAAAGGCTATGGAATGCGTTTTGACTAAGGCGTTTCGAGCTCGTATTAATTAATAAACCTAAATTCAGCTACGTTCGACATAATTTGATCGATGTGGTATCGCTCCTCTTCTACTCAATGCAAGGGTGCACTGCTCACTCCGTCATTGCTCCTAAGCATGCTCGTCTCACACTCGTTATCCGTTTGACTACTCAACACTTGGTCTTCTCATATTGTAAGGGAATGCACCTTCGTTCAACTTGAACGGACTGCTACAACTAGCGTAGCTGAAGACGAAGCACGATGGCTAGAAGAGCCAGTGAAATTTTATTCAGGGTTGCAAAAGCATTTCTTTTGATTTATAATGCATTTATATCAAATGGCAGGCGTTGTGATGGTTATCATTACCCCTTTAGCTGACTTTAGGCTTCACAGAGGGGAAGGAGCATCAAATTGAGAAAAATTCGAGAGGGAGAGCAGAAGAGAGATTTAAAGATGTAAAAGAGACAGACACAGAGGTAGAAAAAAGGTGGGGTGAGTACTGTGAAAGTAGTCGAATATGATATACAGTTCGGTGATGGTAGTTTGAAGTCAGAAGTCAACTGCCAGTTAAGTTCTGGTAGTTTGAAGTGAGAAGTCAACTGCCGATTAAGGATAGTAGTAAGATGAGTACTGTGAAGGGGTCGAATATGACAAATAGTCGGGCCATAGTAGTTTGAATTCGAGAAGTCAACTGGCGATCAATAGACTTTTTTGCCGTATAATCTGTGGATGGGGCCGAATATGACAAATAGTCGTGCCATAGTAGTTTGAAGTCACCGATCATTAGACTTATTTTGCCGTATGAGTATGCGTTGCCCAGGGTGCACCACGTTTTTGCCGTATGAATATACGTTGCCCAGGGTGCACCACGTGGGCAGTTTGAAGTACCAGTCAATAGACTTTTTTCCGCATAAGTATACGTTGCCCAGGGTGCACCACATGGAGGTTGTAAGTACACGTTGCCCAGGGTGCACCACGTGGAGGTATGCCGTTTGAGTATACGTTGCCCATTGGTTTATAGACTTGTTTGCCGTATGAGTATACGTTGCCCGTCAATGGGGTGATGGTAGTTTGAAGTGAGAAGTCAACTGCCACAATGGGGTCATGGTAGTTTGAAGTTAGAAGTCAACTGCCTTTAATAGACTTTTTTGCCGTATGAGTATACGTTGCCCAGCGGTTTATAGACTTTTTGCCGTATGAGGTCTGTTGCCCAAATATGACATACAGTGGGGTCATGGTAGTTTGAAGTCAGAGGTCAACTGCCGGTTTATAGACTTTTTGCCGTGTTAGGGTTAGATCAACTGCCGGTTTATAGACTTTTTTGCCGTATGCGCATACACAATGACATACAGTGGGGTGATGGTAGTTTGAAGTGAGAAGTTGTGACATATAGTGGGGTGAGGGTAGTTTGAAGTCAGAAGTCCACTGCCGGTTTATAGACTTTTTGCCGTATGAGTATACTTTGTAACATACAGTGGGGTCATGGTAGTTTGAAGTCAGAAGTCAAGGCATACAGTGGGGTCATGGTAGTTTGAAGTCAGTGGTCAACTATACAGTGGGGTGATGGTAGTTTGAAGTGAGAAGTCAACTACCAGTCAATAGACTTTTTTCCGCATAAGTATACGTTGCCCAGGGTGCACCACATGGAGGTTGTAAGTACACGTTGCCCAGGGTGCACCACGTGGAGGTAGCCGTATGGAAGTGATAAGTCAACTGCCGTGGGGTGAGTACTGTGAAAGTAGTCGAATATGATATACAGTTCGGTGATGGTAGTTTGAAGTCAGAAGTCAACTGCCAGTTAATAGACTTTTTTGCCGTATGAGTATACGATGCCCAGGGTACACCACGTGGAGGTAAGTCTATCACACATAAAATTGAAAATAGGCAAACTTCTAGGTAGCATCTATAATGAAGTTCATTAGCCAGCTAACTGCTAGGGGAATATTGGGGTGTGCGAGAGACTTACCTCCACGTGGTGCACCCTGGGCAACGTATTCTCATACGGCAAAAAAGTCTTTTAACCGGAAGCTGAATTCTGACTTCAAACTACCATCATCCCATTGCTTGTCATATTCGACTACTTCCACAGTACTCACCTCACCTTTTTTCTCCCTCTGTGTCTGTCTCTTTTACGTCTTGGAAACTCTCTTCTACCCCCCCCCCCCCCCCCCCCCCCCCCCCCTTTT